TAGGGCTGGGACCTCGTTGGGGACATCGTTGGGGTTGGGGACCTCGTTGGGGTTGGGGACATCGTTAGGGCTGGGGACCTCGTTAGGGCTGGGGACATCTTTAGGGTTGAGGGACATCATTAGCACTGGGGACTTCGTTAGGATTGGGGGACATCATTGGGGTTGGGAACCTCGTTGGGGTTGGGGACATCATTAGGGCTGGGGACATCATTGGGGTTGGGGACATCATTGGGGTTGGGGACTTATTAGGGTTGGGGACCTCGTTAGGGTTAGGGACCTCGTTAGGATTGGGGGACATCATAGAAGTTGGGGACCTCGTTGGGGTTGGGGACATCGTTAGGGCTGGGACCTCGTTGGGGACATCGTTGGGGTTTGAGACCTCATTAGGGCTGGGGACATCTTTAGGGTTGGGGGACATCATTAGCGCTGGGGACCTCGTTAGGATTGGGGGACATCATTGGGGTTGGGGACCTCGTTAGGGCTGGGGACATGATTGGGGTTGGGACTTATTAGGGTTGGGGACCTCGTTAGGGCTGGGGAACATCGTTGGGTTGGGGACCTCGTTAGGGTGGGGGACATCATTAGGGTGAGGGATCTCATTAGGGTTGGGGACATCTTTGGGGTCGGGGGACATTGTTAGGGTTGGGGGACACAATTGGGATTGGGGACATCTTTGGGGTTGGGGACATCATTAGGGTTGGGGACCTCGTTAGGATTGGGGAACAACGTTAGGATTGGGGGACATCATTGGGGTTGGGGACCTCGTTAAAGCTGGGGACCTCGTTAGGGCTGGGGACATCCAACCCCATAAAGACGTCCTCCAACCCCATAAAGGCATCCTCCAGATCTGGGGTCCCAGTTATGGGATCTGGGGTCACAATTATGGGGTCAGGGTCACAGTGATGGGGTTTGGGGTCACAGTTATGGGGTCAGGGTCACAGTGCTGGGGTTTGGGGTCACATTTATGGTTTGGGGTCACAGTTATGGGGTCTGGGATCACAGTTATAGTTTGGGGTCACAATTATGGGGTCAGGATCACAATTATGGGGTCAGGGTCAGTTATGGGATTTGGGGTCACAGTGATGGGGTCAGGGGTCCCAGTTATGGGATCTGGGGTCACAATTATGGGGTCAGGGTCACAGAGATGGGGTTTGGGGTAACAATTATGGGGTCAGGGTCACAGCAATGGGGTTTGGGGTCACATTTATGGTTTGGGGTCACAATTATGGGGTCAGGGTCACAGTGATGGGGTTTGGGATCACAGTGATGGGGTTTGGGGTCACAGTGATGGGGTCAGGGCACATTTATGGTTTGGGGTCACAGTTATGGGGTCAGGGTCACAGGGATGGGATTTGGGGTCACAGTTATGGGGTCTGCGGTCACATTTATCGTTTGGGGTCACAGTTATGGGGTCAGGGTCACAGTTACGGGATTTGGGGTCACAGTGATGGGGTCAGGGTCACAGTGATGGGGTTTGGGATCACAGTGATGGGGTTTGGGGTCACAGTGATGGGATTTGGGGTCACAGTGATGGGGTCTGCGGTCACAGTTATAGTTTGGGGTCACAATTATGGGGTCAGGGTCACAGTGATGGGGTTTTGGGTAACAATTATGGGGTCAGGGTCACAGCAATGAGGCTTGGGGTCACATTTATGGTTTGGGGTCACAGTGATGGGGTCAGGGTCACAGTTATAGGGTCAGGGTCACAGTAATGGGGTTTGGGGTAACAATTATGGGGTCAGGGTCACAGTGATGGGGTTTGGGGTCACAGTGATGGGGTCAGGGCACATTTATGGTTTGGGGTCACAGTTATGGGATCTGGGGTCACAATTATGGGGTCAGGGTCACAATGATGGGGTTTGGGGTAACAATTATGGGGTCAGGGTCAGAGCAATGGGGTTTGGGGTCACATTTATGGTTTGGGGTGACAGTTATGGGGTCAGGGACCCCCACCGACCCGTCGCCACCGTCCAGGCGCT